AAGTAATATTCCGGCCATTTTATTATTTCTGATTGTTTTGTGGTCTTCTCTTCATTTTTTCTTCTTCCTTTTAGTAAAGGTGATTTTATCTGGTGGTATGATTTAATTTATTGCCTTTTACTTTTGTGTCTGTTTGTTGTATGTTTGTGATTTGGGGTACAATGAGATTTTCAAACACTATTTTATAAGCCATTATCTTAAGCTGATAACAACTTAACAGTGCTTGCATAAACTAACAAGCAAAAAGAAAACTAATAATAACTCTATGCCTTAACTTCGTCCCCCACATTTTAACTTTTTGTTGGTTCTATTTATATCTTAATGTACTGTGTATGCCTTGAAAATTTGTTTTAGTTATTATTTTCAATTGGTTCATCTTTTGGTCTGTTTAGTATAAGAGTAGTTTACAAGGCTGGGCATGGTGGCTCACGCCTGTAATCCCAGCACTTTGGGAAGCCGAGGTGGGTGGATGATGAGGTCAAGAGATCGATACTATCCTGGCCAACATGGTGAAACCCTGTGTCTACTAAAAATACAAAAATTAGCTGGGCGTGGTGGTGCACACCTGTAGTCCCAGCTACTCAGGAGGCTGAGGCAGGAGAATTGCTTGAACCCAGGGGGGAAAAGAAAAAAAGACTAGTTTACAAATCACGGTTACAGTGTTTTAATATTCTGTGTTTTTCTGTGTACTTACTATTACCAATGAGTTTGGGACCTTCAGATGATTTCTTATTGCTCATTAATGTCCTTTTCTTTCAAATTGAAGAACTAGATCTCATTAACATTTCTTGTAGAACAGGTCTTGTGTTGATGAAATCATTCAGCTTTTGTCTGTCTAGGGAGGTCTTTATTTCTTCATCACATTTGAAGGGTATTTTCATGGTATATATTATTCTAGAGTAAATGTTTTCTTTTCCTTCAGCACTTTAAATATGTCATGCCACTCTCTCCTGGCCTGTAAGGTTTCCACTGAAAAGTCTGCTGTGAGACCTATTGGAGCTCCATTTTATGTTGTTTGTTTCTTTTCTCCTGCTGCTGTTGGAATCCTTTCTTTATGCTTGACCCTTGGTAGTTTATTAAAAGCCTTGAGGCAGTTTTCTTTGGGTTAAATCTGCTTAGTGTTCTATAACCTTCTTGTATTAGGATTTTGCTATCTTTCTCTAGGTTTGGGAAGTTTACTGTTATTATCCCTTTAAAATTTTTACTCCTATCTCTTTCTCTACCTCCCCTTTAAGGCCAAAAACTCTTAGATTTGCCCCTTTGGGGCTATTTTCTAGATCTCACAGATGTGCTTCATTCTTTTTATTATTTTTTCTTTTGTCTCTTCTGATTGTGTATTTTCATTTTTTATTTCTTTAATTTTATTTTTTATTCGACTATTTTCAAATAGTCTGTCTTCAAGCTAATTCTTCTGCTTAGTCTATTCTTCTGTTAAGAGACTCTGATGCATTCTTCAGTATATCAGTTACATTTTTCACCTTCAGAATTTCTGCTTGATTCTTTTGAATTATTTCAATCTCTTAGTTAAATGTATGATAGGATTCTGAATTCCTTCTCTGTGTTATCTTGAATTTGAGTTTCCTCAACACAGCTACTTTGTCTCTTTAAATCTATTTTCTATCTTTATGCACTCTTCTTTCTTCCCTGGAAGGATAATAGTATGGGCTTTCATACCCTCCGGCTCATTACCTCTCTCTGTCCTCTTTCCTTTGGGCCCAGGGATGGCGCCAGCTACACTGCTGCCAGCCTCAGGCTCCTGCACTATCTATCCCTTTTTGGTTCTGTCACACTCTATCCACCATAAGTTGTTCCTTTGTAAATAAACCTTCCTCTAATTATTCTAATTTAATTGTGCCAACTGTTTTATATTGAGTCCTTGACTGATACAGGAAAACTGGTAGAATATGAATCTCCTAGTCCATCACTGAAGAGTAGAGTACTGAAATAAAGTTATTATGGAAGAGTTCTGAGATCTTAGCAGTATACAGTGTTGCACTTCCAGTCTTCTTCCTCCGTTACAGAGAAGAGGGGGCTGTTTGGCATGTATTTTCTGAATTTGGGAGCATATTTTAATATAGCAACTCATGTCTGCTACTGTTTGAATGAAGACACTTCACTGAGCATTTTTTAATGAGACACTGGTGAAGAGTGCCAAGCCTGACATAATCATAATGTATTGTGCCTTAGAAGAAGATACAAGCATTTTCAACTCATTTTACTTCTCTGCAGCCCTTAAAGGGTAAACAAGAGGGTGTCAGGGATTCCTGCAGCCCCACACGGAGGGTCGTGAAGACTAGCAGAAGGGCAGAAACCATCAGACTGCAGTGGTTCCAGGCTAACCAAAGGAACATCCAACCTGAAAAATGACGTTGGGATAGTGTCCTGATGAAACACGGATTCCATTCTAGAAGGAGTTCTTTTGGTACCAAATATAGGCATGAAGCTGAACATTGCTCCAAGAAAACCAAACATTGCTTATAAGAACCATCATGTTCACACAGGTAGCCAGTAGCAGATGGCAGAGATACCTTTGACCACTTACTTACGTGGTTTCTTCATCCTTTCTCTGCTTCCTTCATAGGGGATGTATGAGAATACAAAACTCAGAGAGAAAAAAGGGAAAGTCCATTAAAGAAAGATAATCCCTCTCCTTTACTGTGAGCCTCTAGGTTCAAAAACAGGTTTAGCTTGAGTTAGGACAGGTGGAGAGGAACATAGTTTAGGAAAGGAGGCTGGAGGCAAGGGCATGAGCCTAGAATGGACTTTAAGATGGAAGTTATAAAATAAGCAATCTTGAATATTGAAACAAGATTATACTATTAAACAAGAATGATTGGAAAAATGTGGACTCGGCCAAGAAACTGTTAGCAAACCACTAAGGAGAGAGGAAGAGTTACTAGAAAAGGAACACAGGTGCATGTTTATATTTCAACTCTTGAGACTCATTGCTACTCGGTTTCATAATTTCTTTCTATGCATCTGTAACTTGAATTCACTTCTGACAGGATATTTTTGTCTTATATATGGTAGAGTTAATTGTTCTAGAAACTTACTTCAAGCTAACTTAAGCAACAAAGGGGGATTTATTGGAAAGCTGCTTGGGTATCTCACAGAACCCAAGGAAGATAATTGCACTGGATTTCCACAGGACCTGGAAAATCCTCAGAAACTCAAGTGTTCTTTCTTTCTTCTCTTTCCAGTTATAACCTTCAGGAAGGGGAGAGTGGCTCATGGGCTGAGTGGATAAACCACAAAATGGGTAATATACTGTCGGTGAGTTTTAAGTGACAAATGAAGTCTAAGCTGTGATTGCACTGGTTGGTGACTGAAACTTAAAATGGGACTTAGAGGTTAAGTGGAGGGAATACGTTGCCAAAATGTTAGAAGGATCTTCTTCAAAGAGAAGTTGAGGGTCTAGAGGATAATGGTAGGGCACAGAGTGGAGGTGAAGCTTCTCAGGGGTGGGGGTCAGTGGGGAGGATAGGAGAGTGTTCCTGATTTTGAGGAGGAAGGATAGAGGGTTTTACTGGTGAATGACCTAAGTGTCATGACCACTCGTGTTCTCAGGATTCTTGAGTATTGGGAGATGTGGCTGCAGTGGACAGGGCAGTGTCAGAGAGACTAGATTTTACGATAGAAGCTTTCAAATTACCTACCCATAACCAACTTACCAGGAGACTGATACTGTCCATCTCCTCCAAAAAATAAAACTGACATGTCCACAGCATGCCAAATTCATACAGCCAGTAGGCTAATTTCTGACATGCCTGGCACTTTGATATCCACCAGTTGAGCTTTATGTTTATCAAGAATAGTTGTATAAACTTCCAAAACTGTTTATGGACAGGCACGGTGGCTCACGCCTCTAATCCCAGCACTTTGGGAGGCCAATGTGGGTGGATCGCTTGAGGTCAGGAGTTTGGGACCAGCCTGGCCAACATGGTGAAACCCTGTCTCTACAAAAAATACAAAAAAAAAAAAAAATAATAAGCCAGGCATGATGGCAGGCACCTGTCATCCCAGCTACTGGGGAGGCTGAGGCAGGAGAATTGCTTGAACCCGCGAGGCGGAGGTTGCAGTGAGCCGAGATCGTGCCACTGCACTCCAGCCTGGGAGACAATAAAGGGCCAACGTGTTTTGGTTATTTTATGACTACATAAACAATAATCTTTTAAAAAAAGGTTTTGCGAAAACTGTAAAGATCTAAATAGAGTCTGCATTTAGTATTTTTCCCCACAAGAACCTTTAGGTTCTAGCTGTTTTAAATGTCAACTCATCTGGATGTGGCTTATGCTAGAAAGACCTAGAAGAGCTCTTATGGATCCCCATTCAATGAAGACACGTTGGCCCTTTATTAAAAATTCATGAATGGCTCGACATTTATGATTTCAGTTTAAAACAAAATGTTAAGGTACATATATCTGTATACTTTTTCACTTTAGCCAACTATTTTGAGTCTTTCAACATGAGGAGATGGAAGGGCTGTTCAAGCCCTTTTTTTTTTTTTTGGCAATAGCACAGGAGGTCCAGGAGAGAGGCCAGCCGTGGGTGAGCAGGAGTGTCTGGGGAGTGTCAACTTTCCACTGAAAAATACCCCTGCACTTCAAGCCATTCCACTTCTGTTATCTCCAAAGCTGTGGCAATCGTATTTATATATTCACCAAAACTGGGTGGGCACTAGTGTTCAGCTGTCACCGTCTGTAGGCTGGTGTGTTCGGCTCATGGCAGAGTGTGAACCTGGCATCGGGGAGTGTTTGTCGAGTGAATAAGGGTGGGGCTGTACTTTCCAGAGCCGCCGGGAGAAACTGGATACAGAGACCCTAGCCTGGCGGCCAATCTCAACGTTCCTCCCAGTGGGGGAGGAATCTGTGGGTGGGAGGTGGGGAGCCTGAAACCCAAATATAACAGGCAGTCTGGACTGGGTGTGGTTCCCTGGCAGCTGGGTCTCAGATCCTCGTAGAGCTGATTTCTCCCCGGATCCCTCTGGAGGTCCGGGCAAGATGGGCAAGTACACGGTCCGTGTAGCCACGGGGGATTTGTTCCTGGCAGGCTCTCCCAACCAGGTGCAGCTGTGGCTGGTGGGTGAGCACGGGGAGGCAGACCTAGGGAAGCACCTGCGACCCGTGTGGGGAAAGGTGAGAGCTGGGGCCCTGGGACTCTGAGGTGTCACTGGGGGCTGGGGCCAGTCAGAGGGTGCTGGAGAAACCCCGGAAGCCAGGTAGAGGCTGAGGTCGGGTGCACTTGGTGTGCCTGATAGGAAAAGGAAAAGCAAGAGGAACAGGAGAAATGAGAGGCAATTTCCTGCTTGAGCAGAGACCACGAGATGCCCGCTGGGGTGTGCATGGCAGGTCGTGGGGGAAGCTGACGCCCCACAGTACCAGCTGCTCCTCACCTCCACCTCTCCCCGGGTATGCTCCGGTGGGGAAACAGAGCCAGGATTCTCTGAAGGTTCACCGACCCCGCCACCCTCCCTGAAGACCCCAACCCTGCCACTGAGCTGTGTCCTGTTGCACAGGTGGAGGAGTTTGAGATCGACGTCCCCCTGCACCTGGGGCGCCTCCTGATGGTGAAGCTGCGCAAGCACAACGGGCTGTTGAGTGTCGACTGGTTCTGCAAGTGGATCTCAGTGCAGGGCCCGGGAACCCAAGGCGAGGTTTTTTTCCCCTGCTACCGCTGGGTGCAGGGCCACAGGATTATCTGCCTGCCCAAGGGCACTGGTGACCAAGGGCACTGGTGAGCTCAGTGGAGAAGGGGCGCGGCCCCTGGCAGGCTCGAGGAAGAAGCGGGTTGGGGGAGGCTACTGTAAAAGAGCGAAAGATGAGGGAGATGGGGAAGAAGTGAAGGAGGATGGTGGCTGATGGAGAGACCCAGGCGCGAGTGCAGCGCAGAGGGGTGACCAGGGAGGGTGTGTGCTCTTGTCCCCCTCCCCCAGCCCGGACCCTAAGTGATGACCCCCAGAACCTGTTTAAGAAGTACCGGGAACAGGAGCTCGAGGAAAGAAAGAAGGTGTACCGGTGAGCCCCAGAAAGTCGAATCCCCCTACCACATCCCAAGAAACCCGCTGCCCACCCCCTTACGCCTACCTCCGTGTTCTTCCTTCAGGTGGGGCTCCTGGAAAGATGGGTTAATCCTGCCTATAGCAGGGAATAGGCAACCGGACCTTCCCAGGGACGAGCGATTCCTCGAGGATAAGGATTTAGACTTTAGTGTCTCCCTAGCAAAAGCGTAAGTGACAGCTAGAGGCTGGGGACTTGCTTCCCAGGGCGCAAGGTGGTATCCTTCGTTGATCATCTTGTACTCCATTGTTTCCACAGGTTGAAGGACATGGCCATTAAGGGGACACTGGATTTCATAAATTGTGTGAAAAGGCTGGAAGATTTCAAAAAAATATTCCCACGTGGAAAGACTGCCCTGGCTGGTCAGTTTCCACAACCTCCCAAAACCAATCTACAGATTTCCAGCCCAGGGAATTTGAAAGAGGAGGGGGATAGAGGATGGAAGAGTAATAGGTCAGCGGGATTAGGAGCTCAGAGCTCACAGGCTGCTCCCCAATTGATGTTCCTAGAGCGGGTTCATGATTCTTGGAAGAAGGATGCCCTCTTTGGGTACCAGTTTCTCAATGGTGCAAACCCCATGCTCCTGAGGCGTTCTTCAAGGCTCCCCGCCCGCCTGGTGCTGCCTCCAGGGATGGAAGACTTGAAGACCCAGCTGGAGAAAGAACTCCAGGTGCTGCTGTTATCCCCACCTCCCTTCTCTTTGCCTCCTTCTCCTCCATCTGCACTTAAGGCTTCTCAGCTTTGGCACTAACATTCTGTGCCACATAATTCTCTGTTGGGGGGGGGCTTTCCTGTGGATCGTAGTGTGTTTAGTAGCATCCTTGGCCTCATCCCCCCGGTTGTGACAACCACAAATGTCTCTAGATATTGCTGAATGTCCTGGGGTTGGGGAGTGGGGAGAGGAGGAGTCGCCCCTGATTGAGAACGTTGATCTACAACATCTCCTCCTGTATCTTCTTTTCTTTCTCTTCCCTCTCTACTTTCCTCTCTTCCTTCTTCACTGAACATATATCAGCCTTAGGGAAGAGCTCAAGCTTCTGGAGAGAAATAGCAAGAAAAACTAAACAAAGCCTTGGAGAGCTAAAAGCTGAATTTATTTTGGGGGGAGGTGGGTAGATAAAGGAAATATTTTTGCTACCTTGGCTAAAGCTGGCAGAAGAAGGGTTATGTGAAGAGCGCAATGGCCTTATGTGGTGGAAAACCAGAAACTTCAGTGCAGGGAGCTCCAAGTCTGAAGGAAGACATCCGTCATGAAAACTATGTGTTCAGTTTTTTGGTTCTGGGGAAAGTGATTGGTGTTTAAAGTAAAATAGACTTGGATGGGTAGAGGAAGGATCCACCCTGGAAAATGAGAGAAGGGCTCCAGAAAACGACTCCAACTCTATTTTCTATTCCTGCCTCTGGCCCTGCAGGCTGGATCTCTGTTTGAAGTGGATTTCTCCTTGCTGGACGGAGTCAAGCCTAATGTCATCATTTTTAAGCCGCAATATGTGGCCGCCCCTTTGGTCATGCTGAAGCTGCAGCCTGATGGAAGACTCTTGCCCATGGTCATCCAGGTAAGAGGGCCCAGGTGTTTTTCTACCAGACACTGATCTCCTTTAGGGACTCAGATACACAGGTCCTCAGCCCCCATTCTCTCTCCTGCTCTAGCTCCAGCCACCTCGATACGGATGTCCCCCACCTCCGCTCTTTCTGCCCTCGGATCCCCCCATGGCCTGGCTCCTGGCCAAGACCTGGGTCCGGAGCTCTGATTTCCAGCTGCACCAGTTACAGTCACATCTGCTGAAGGGACACTTGATTGCTGAGGTTATTGCTGTGGCTACAATGAGAAGCTTGCCTAGCCTCCATCCTATTTACAAGGTACTTCAGTATCTCTGTCATTCTGTATTTGACTGTCCTTCATATTTCAGACTCCTACACGGAGTCTCACCTTATACATTTCAGTCTAGCAGCAATCAATTTATATGTGGAGACACATACACAGTACTATGGAAACACCCAGGCACACACTTACTATGAGGTGGGGGGAAAAGTGAGAATAGGTTTTGCAAAGGAGTTGAAATTTGGGCTGAGGAGGTTTCCAGGTGGGCAAGTGAGGGGTGGAACATTATAGCCAGAAAGATCAGTAGAGGCAAGGAAAGAAAGGAACATGGATAATGGGTGAGATTAAAGTGTAGGGCATGAGTTGGGGTGAAAAGAAGAGGTGGGAGGAGATGAGTAGAAGCCATGTTACTTAGTGGGGAGAAGAATCAAGTTATTGTCTGACTATGTGAGGCTTCCAATGCCTATAAAGACCCATTTGCACATGTAAGGAGGGCAACTGGATATGTGAGTCTGGAGTTCCTAGAAGAGGTGTAGGTTGCAAATACAGATTTTAGAGTCATTAGAAAACGAAAGTATCTAAAGTCATTGTACTGGATGAAGTTCTCTAGGGTTTGTAGAGACACTAGAGAATTTGATCCAGATATAACTCTAGGGTGATCCAACATTTACAAATTGAGAGGAGGGAGCAGAGTGAGAAAAGAAACAAGAGAAGGAACCTCATTGAGGTAGGAGGAAAACCAAAAAGTGCAATGCATGGCATCCAGGAGAAGAAAGTGTTTCAAAAGGGACGCATGATTATCTGTCTCAAATGCTGCTGAGAGATCAAGAAAGTTACAGAGAAGTGACATTTGGATTTCTCAGTATGGAAGTCGTTGGTTAATAAATGGACATGCGCTATCTCAGGGAAGTGGAGGACGCCTGATTCATGATTCATGGGGGAGAGCAGCAAATGTCAGGTGAGTAAGCAAAGACAATACTGGGTGAAGATTTGCTGTGAAAGGGAAAGCAAGAAACAAGGTGATGGCAAGACAAGGATGTGGGGGTCAAGCACAGGTTTTCTTTAGGGTATCCAATATTGCACATGTTTGTATGACAGAGAAGGAATATCATTATAGGAGGGTGAAGGTCTGGGTGAAGGCAAAAAGGGATAGGCTTATCTGTGGGTACCTGCCAAGATATGAGACTGTGGAAATAAGTAAGCTAAAACTTTCACCATGGGAAGCTCTGAGAAGACACTTTCCCATCTCTGTATTCCCAAATGTTACCCTGACCCCATCCAATTTAATGAGAAGGCTCTCTGTTTCATAAAGACCCATCCTCTCCCTTCTTTTCTGTCACTTCAACATCCTCTTCCCTCATGGATGCTGGGACCTCTCTTATTTGACCGTGTCCCATTTCTTTCTTCCATAATCAGCTCCTGATCCCCCACTTCCGCTACACCATGGCGATCAACACCCTGGCCCGTAGTCGTCTTGTCTCTGAAGGGGGAATTTTTGACCTGGTACGGAAATGGATGGGTGAAGGGGAGGTGGGTTCAATACTGGAAGAATCCTAGGGGTTGTTTCCCTTTCCCACTCCTCCCCCAAGCTCTCCTTCCTCCATGGAAGGCCTCTCCCAAACCTGCCTCATGCCTGAATAGCTTCCTGCTTAAAAGGGCTAGAGTAGGACCACAGGCCTGGAGTCTCCTGATGCTCGTCTTCCTCCCTCCGCAACTTGGCATGGCTGTGGGTTATCCTCAGGTGGTGAGCACTGGTAGTGGGGGCCACGTGGACATTCTTCAGAGAGCCACAGCTTGTTTGACCTATCGTTCCCTCTGTCCTCCTGATGACCTGGCTGACCGTGGACTCCTGGGTGTGAAATCTTCTCTTTATGGCCAAGATGCCATCAGGCTGTGGGGAATCATCAGCCGGTAGGTGAAGGTGGCACAGAGAGGCAGTGAATGGAGGGGCAGGGGACTGTAGGTCCAGAAGGTCCTGCATCGGCCCCTGAGACTGAGTATCTTCTTCCCTGGGGAGCAGGTACGTGGAGGGGATGGTTGGGCTTTTCTACAAGAGCGACCAAGCCGTGAAGGATGATCTAGAGCTCCAGGCCTGGTGCAGAGAGATGACTGAGACTGGACTGCAGATGGCCCAAGACCGGGGGTGAGACAGGGATCCCTCCCCACTGACCCCTGTCAACACCCACTCCTCTGCAAACAATCTGCTGCTTCTCACATCATGAGACACCCCGCCTGCCCGAGGGACCTGAGAATTCTCCAGGGTGTGTCCAGAAATGCTAACGAGCACTCCTGATCTCCCCAGCCCTCTTCCCACACAGTGTTCTCTCTCCTCATGCACTGAGAGCTTCCTTTGGAACCAGTTACAAAACTTCTCTTAGGTATTTCCCCTCACTCTTCCCTCCCCTCTCCCCATAGCTCAGGATTCATCCCAAGCGCATTAACCTTGGAGCACACACAAGGTGGGAGTCCTAGGGTGTGCAGGCCAGGACCACAGAAAAATAACTTTTCTGTATCTCCACATAGCTCTCCCTGCCTGAGACCTGTTTCGTGTTCTGGTTTCAAGGTCTCCGATTCTCCTCATTTCACCAGGTTCCCCATCTCAGAGTCCCGGGCTCAGCGCTGCCACTTTGTCACCATGTGCATCTTCACATGCACGGGTCAGCATGCTTCTAACCACCTGGGTCAGGTAACCTATGTGATCATCCCCCAAGGGCTCCTGGGATGGAGAAGTGGGGGATCAAATGCCCAAGTCATCAGCCTAGGTTTCTGTGGGCTCTCCTCCCTGCAGCTGGACTGGTACTCCTGGATCCCTAATGGCCCATGCACCATGCGGAAGCCCCCACCCATCTCCAATGATGTGACAGAGAAGGACATAGTGGACTCACTGCCCAATCTCCACCAGGCACATATGCAAAAGACCGTCACAGACTTCCTTGGCAGACGTCAGCCTGTCATGGTGAGAAGCAAATGCCCGGGTCCTGGGAAGGAGGCAGCTCAAAGGAGGGGAAGTATTCTGGGTTGAGAGCCCCAAGGGGCTGAGCCACCTTGTTTTCCACCTCTCAGGTGGCCCTGGGGCAGCATGAGGAGAAATATTTCTCTGGCCCTGAGCCCCAAGCTGTGCTGAGACAATTCCGGGAGGAGCTGGCTGCCATGGACAAGGAGATTGAGGTCCGGAATGCAGTCCTGGACCTGCCCTATGAGTACCTTCGACCCAGCATGGTAGAGAACAGCGTGACCATCTGAGAGGGCTTGCCCGCCTCCGCTCCAAAGCTCCACCATCCCTGAGTACCTTTTAGTATTCCGTCCTCCTCACATCCTCTGGTGAACAAATTGTCCCCAAAGCTTTGTGGTCAGGGTACCCAGAGCTGCCCACCACACAACTATGGGGAATACACGGTGATAGTCCCCACTGCATTTGGAAGCGGCATCCCCCAAAGCTGCCCTACCTTAAATGTCCATCCAGTCCTGCACTTCCTCACCCCTGATCCCTGGCACACCTCCTCATTGCCAAAGGACCTGGCTTAGATACAAGTAAAAACATACGATTAAATAACAAAACTGATTATGGTGGTGGAAGGTGGGAGGAGAGACCTTGCTCTGTCTCCTGCCCCTTTACTCAGATTCCAAAGGAAGAAAGAAAATTTTTTCCAGCAATCAATGCTTTTTTCCAAGGGTATCTTGGAACCTCTCTGTCAGGCCTTTGAGCCCAAGCCAAGCCATCGCATCCCCTGTGACTTGCACGTATATATTTGCCCAGATGGCCTGAAGTAACTAAAGAATCACAAAAGAAGTGAAAATGCCCTGCCCCTGCCTTAACTGATGACTTTACCTTGTGAAATTCCTTTTTCTGGCTCATCCTGGCTCAAAAACTCCCCGACTGAGCACCGTGTGACCCCCACTCCTGCCCACCAGAGAACAACCCCCGCTTTGACTGTAATTTTCCTTTACCTTCCCAAATCCTATAAAACGGCCCCACCCTTATCTCTGTTCGTTGACTCTCTCTTCAGACTCAGCCCGCCTGCACCCAGGTGATTAAAAAGCTTTATTGGGGGCTCCAGCACAAGCCCTGTTTGTGGGCATTTCACACAGACACGCCTGACACTTCTCTAACGTAATGACAAAGTTGTCTGGATGACCGAGCCCACTGGGGCCACAGAAAACCTGGGCTGCTTGAGCAAGGGGTTTTTGGCTTGAGGCCTCTGCGAATCCCCAAACAAGCCGTACCCTATAGGCTACCTTGCGCCAGGGCAACGCTCGCGGCTGTGCTCCGCCAGCACAGCCCTCAGCCTGGCACAGTCCCTGCCGGCCCTGCGTCCCCGCAAAGTCTTCCCCTCTCAAGTGCTTTCCTGCCCCAGGACTCTTGATAAACCCTCTCTTCATTCAAAGCTCTATCCTAGCCATCCTTAAAAAGATACGCATGTCGTATCCCCAGAGTCCTAGATATTGGAGATAAATGGATAAAAGAAGGAACTAGTAGGCCAGGCTCTATGGTTAGAAATTTTAAATATACATAGTCATTTATCGCACCAGGCCACAGTGGCTCATGCCTGTAATCCAGCCTTGGGAGACCCAGGCAGGCCAGATCATCTAGTTGGGAGTTCGAGACCAAACCTGACCGACATGGGGAAACCCTTTCTCTACTAAAAATACAAAATTAGCCGGCGCGTCGGTGGTGGGTGCCTGTAATCCCAAATCCCAGCTAACTTGGGAGGCTGAGGCAGGAGAAATCACTTGAACCCGGGAGGCGGAGGTTACAGTGAGCCCCGAGATGCGGCGCCACTGCACTCCAGCCTAGACAATAAAGAGGAAACTCGGTCTCAAAAAAAAAATTTTTTTTTATCCTCACAACTTCTCTGTGAGGTTGGTATCACTGTCACCATCTTATAACAGGGAAAATGAAGTTGGAGAGATAAAGGACAGAAATGACCTGGCACACCAAAATGCAGCAGAGTCAGATTCCATTTGCTAGAAGGAAGCAAAGCCCAGGATTGTGGTCATAGCAATACACAGTTAAAAGACTGATTACAAAATCTAGAGGCCAATGAAAGCTTTGGATGGATCTGATGTAATGGGGGGGAAAAAAGGAGAGAGAAAGATTCTTTGAGTCTTTCAAAGAATCTTACACATTCAAGATTACTTATGTGCCATATATTTTAAAAAAGGAACATAGACAATATGGTTAATATGGTAGAAATAGACATGTGTGAGCCATCCAAATTCACCGTACACCTGATGGCCCCTCAACCTTCTAATGTCCCGTGCTGTTCTGTGTATTGCTTCCATCCATCATATGGCTCTTTTCAGTAGATGACAAAAGAATTTTAAGATAGCCACAGACCATAGACTCACAGAATCTTTGACTTGGTTGCTAGAAGTTTTTGTGGTTGCATGGAATGGTAGCAAGGAGACTCAGAAGAGAGGGAGGGGATGAGGAAGAGGCAGAGGTCACGCTGAGATTTTCAGTTTCGGCATGACTGGCGAGAAATACAAAGATTCAGAAGGAAGGTTGTTTTAAGTTTGATGTAATAGCGGGGTCCTTCTGGGAAGAAATTAAACAGGTAATTGGAGAGGCTGAACTGAAAAAAGAAAGGAGGTGAGTTCTACAGTTTGGATGATATTATGAACAAGGGAAAAAGAAGAGTCAGGGGCAAGGACACCTTGGGATATACTCAAGAGTTAGGGATCTAAAAGAGAACATGAGGCCAGGCGCGGTGGCTCATGCCTGTAATCCCAGCACTTTGGGAAGCCAAGGTAGGTGGATCACCTGAGGTCAGGAGTTCAAGACCAGCCTGACCAACAAGGTGAAACCCATCTCTACCAAAAATTAGCTGGGCAGGGTGGCATGAGCCTCTAGTCCCACCTACTCAGGAGGCTGAGCCAGGAGAATTTTTTGAACCTAGGAGTCAGAGGTTGCAGTGAGCTGAGATCGCACCACTGCACTCCAGCCTGGGTGATGGAGCGAAACTTGTCTCAAAAAACAAACATGAAGTGAGAATGATCCTAGTTTGAAAGGTAAGAGGAGCTGGATGATGCAGGTCACAGAAGTCAAGAAAAAAGAGAAGTTCAAGGCTAGAGGGGGCAGGAAATTAGGTCTTCCCACACCCCCCGTCATCACTCCCTATGACCGAGTTGTCTCCCTGAGCGCTCTCATTTTTTAAGATGGAGTTTCACTTGTTGTCCAGGCTGGAGTGCAATGGTGCGATCTCAGCTTACCGCAACCTCTGCCTCCCAGGTTCAAGCGATTCTCCTGCCTTAGCCTCCCGAGTAGCCAGGATTACAGACATACGCCACCACCCCCAGCTAATTTTTGTGTTTTTAGTAGGGATGAGGTTTCATCATATTGGTCAGGCTGTTCTCAAACTCCTGACCTCAGGCGATCCACCTGTCTCAAAGCCTCCCACAGTGCTGGGATTACGAGTATGAGCCACCGCGCCCAGCAGCTCTCCCATTTTCTAGGTGTGTCACCTCACTCCCATTTTCCTCCCCAGTCTGCTCCCCATCCTCCCATGTTTCCTCAGCAAGTGTCCTCATCTCTTCTGCACAGCACAGTCATATCCTCAGTCCAGCTTTCAGATTCTCCCACCTCATCTCTCAAGAGGGTCTGATATAACGACTCTTTTACTGAGGTAATCTGTTCAGGCACCTGTGCCTATGAGAGGCTTACTGTGATCTCTGAATCTTTGTTTGTGATAATCCTACATGGACTGCTCACCTCTAGATTTCTTATGAAATCACCTCTCATTTCTACAACAGGCGCAAATTGCCTTAAAGCTCAGTGTCCTGGCTTTGATCGATCCTTCGCTCCCTAGTCTGCCTGCACTCATGAAGGGTCACGCTATTGAAAAACTCCACGTGGTGCCATGTATGTTGTATTGCATGTGGAAGGTGCCCTCTGGAGTCTGCCAGAGACAATGAATAAACATTAGCTGCCAGACAATGAATAATCTTGGAAGTGTTGAAAGAAAATACCGGCCAGGCTATTCTACAAATCAATGAGAAGAAATAGGCAGCTCAATTAAAAAATGGACAAAAGGCCGGACACGGTGGCTCACGCCTATAATCCCAGCACTTTGGGAGGCTGAGGCAGGCAGATCATGAGGTCAGGAGATCAATATAGCAGCTGTATGTAAAAAATGATATTGAAAGTATCCTGAGTTCTGGAGTTGCACCGATTCTATTAGGCTGAGAACCCCAGTTTCAAGTTCATCTCTTCATTTTTGTCTCATCCCATTTCACAGCAGCTTAACAGCAGGTCCTTTGTGTTCGTTTCTGGCCCATAGAGGGATCTTTATTCAAAATCACGGGGTTGTCTCTAAATTTCTGCTAAGCTAATGAATGGTGTTAGTATGTTCTCTTCTCTCCAGGGCAGAGGCAGAGATTATTATTTTTTTTTTGATTAGCCAAAAGCAACATTACACAATGAATCACGTATCATTTTAAAAGAAGAGTTAACTATTATAACGAAAAGATAAAATGCCATGGTGTTCAGGCAATGGTGGATTAAAAGTGCTTCGCACCTATCAGTTCTGTAAAACCTAGCTTAAGTCTGTTGGTCTAACTTTTTAACTAGACTTACCTTCCTTTAGAAAATATTTGATGTGCAGAGAGCTAGATTGAGGGTCTAGCAGTCACAGATCACCTTAATCCAGTCAGGAACTAAGATTATTTGATGCTGGGTTTTAATCACTTTAAGGCCTGAATTTCCACCCCACCTGTACCACTAGGGTGCAGCTCTTTGAGGTCCTAACCCAAAGTGGGTGAGAAAGAGAGAGATACAGGGATGGCCAAGAGTCCTTCAAAGACATCATCGCCACAGATTAAAGAGAAATCTTAAATGTAGATAAAAATCTCATTACTTTCACATGGGCATCAATAATACAGACAGCATTTTCTCAAATGAAACATTAGCTGCCAGAGACAATGAATAATCTTGGAAGTGTTGAAAGAAAATACCGGCCAGACTATTCTACAAATCAATGAGAAGAAATAGGCAGCTCAATTAAAAAATGGACAAAAGGCCGGGCATGGTGGCTCATGCCTATAATCCCAGCACTTTGGGAGGCCGAGGCAAGTAGATCATGAGGTCAGGAGATCGAGACCATCCTGGCCAACATGGTGAAACCCCGTCTCTACTAAAAATAACAACAAAAATTAGCCAGGGGTGGTGGCGCACGCCTGTAGTCCCAGCTGCTCGGGAGGCTGAGGCAGGAGAATCACTTGAACCCGGGAGGTAGAGGTTGCGGTGAGCTGAGATCGCGCCACTGCACTCCCGCCTGGTGACACAGCGAGACTCCATCTCAAAAAAGAAAAGGAAAAATGGACTAAAGACTTGGACATACTTTTCTCATGGGGACATCCAAATGTCAGTAAATACATGGAAAGGATTATATTTGATGATTCTATTTTGTCAGTTTAATATCACATCAACTTTTAAGGTATCTGGAGGAGTTGCTCCCATTTTGGTTAAGTCCAGTGGTTGCATGGCTCAATTCATTGGTTGAATCTCTAGCTTTGGTTACTGCTCTGGAGAATTGCCTGATTGCATACTGCATGAAGTTT